GCCCTTTCTCCCTTACTAATATTCTTCTCCTATGGTCCTACCTCTCTTGAGCTCCTTCTTTCCCTTTATCCCCTAGGTTCCTTGTATACCCTTCCCTCCTCTCCCTTAAACTAACCCAATTTATATCCATATCTCCCTTATTAAGGCCTTTTTTTTTGTATTTTTGAGACAGGGTCTCCCTGTAGCCCCAGCTGGCCTGGAACTCACTATGTAGACCAGGCTGGCCTCAAACTCACAAAGATCCACCTGCCTATTTTCTAGTTAATATACATATGTATGATTTAAACACACAAAAAGGACACCTTAATGTTTAATATCCATTTTTCTGATCATCAGTAACCTAGACATTTTTTCCCATGGTTATTATTTACTTCCCTACTTCTTTCTTTTTTGGTCTTTTTTTTTTTTAGACAGAGTCTCCCAGTAGCTCCCCAGCTGGCCTGGAACTCACTATGTAGACCAGGCTGGTCTCAAACTCACAGACACCTGCCTGCCTCTGCCTCCTGAGTAGTGGGACTAAAGGCATGTGCCACCATGCCTGGCTATTTCCCTACTTCTAAACTAGTTTTGTTCATATCTTGGTTTATTTATCCAATGAAGGAATATTAATGGCTTTTATTAATCTACTCATCTCCTCTTGGTTCCTCTTTCTATTTGGTTTTGAGGTCTATTGTTTTTGTTTTTTTTCTGTTTTGTTTATTTGGTCTTTTTGAGACAGGGTCTCCCTGTAGACCCACCTGGCCTAGAACTTGCTATGTAGACCAGGCTGACCTCTGTCTGACAGAGATCTGCCTGCCTCTGCCTCCCAAGTTCTGGGACTAAAAGGGTGTGCCACCATGCCTGGCTTTGGTTTTAGTTTTTCAAGATGTGGTTTCCTGTAATACAGATGGTTTTCAATTCATTATGTAGCTTGAACTCATTCAGTACCTGATGACCTTGACCAAGGCTCCAGTCTCCACCTTTCAAGTTTTAGGACCAAGGGTGTGTGCCACCACAACTGGCTGGCTTTGTTTCCTTCCTTCCTTCTTTCTTTTAATTTTTTCTATCTTCATTTTTGATTGATATTATCTACAGAAGTTACTCAGTGTAGGCAAATGTCATTATTCCTTTACGTTTTGTTTTTCTGCTCTAAGTTTAGAAAGTTTACGTCCAGCAATAAAACATTGTTCATTATTTTTTTAATATTTAATTCAGCCTGGTATGGTGGCACATGCCTTTAATCCCAGCACTCCTGGAGGCAGGTGGATCTCTGTGAGATCTAGACCAGTCTGGTCCATATAGTGAGGCCTTGTCTCAAAAGAAAGAGAGAGGGGCTAAAGACATGGCTCAGTGGTTAATAACACTGACTGCTCTTACAGAGGACCCAGATTCTATTCTCAGAACACACAGCAGCTAACAACCATCCATAACTCTACTCGGGAGGCAGAGACAGGCAGATCACTGTGTGTTCAAGGCCAGCCTGGTCTACATAGTGAGTCCCAGGTCAGCTGAGGCTACTGGGAGACCCTGTCTCAAAAACAAAAACAAAAACAAAAAAAAACCCTCCAGTTCCAGGGCATCCAATGCCTTTTTCTGACCTCCATGGGCACTACGCAACACGGGTACACTTACACAGTTGCAAGGCAACATACTCATAAAATAAAATTTTAAAAAACTTAAAAAAGTAAGGGAAGAAGGAAGGAAGGAAGGAAGGAAGGAAGGAAGGAAGGAAGGAAGGAAGGAAGGAAGGAAGGAAGGGAGGAAGGAAGGAAGATGGATGAAAGGAGAGGAGAAAGAAGAAAATCTGAACAGGAAAAATAATCCATTGGGAGACATGGCATATCTCGATTGATAATTCTTAAATGTTTGGAGCCTTTCAACAGTAGTCAAATCCAGTTGTGGTGACCTGAGAGTAAAGAGGGAAAGGAAGAACTGGAATCTGATTGTAACTGGCAAAGTATAAGTTATGTTCAAAACTAGGAAAGCATTAGCTAAGGGCAGGCTCTTTAAAACAGCTACAAAAGAGGAGCACAAAGACGAAAAACTGGCAGTGGTATTTACCATATTATCTAGGTCACAGACTTTGTGACAGCCCCATATAGGGTTCATGTAACTGAATGTGGGGATTGAGAAAATTTGGCAACACAAGTTTCTGATGCATGAGAAACAAAACTTCAAATGTAATGAATCCAAGGTATTTCCAGCAGCATCAGCCCACCTTGCATTGTGTGGCTTCACTTGAAGTCTTCATTATAAATACACAATATGCCTTTTGCACTGGTTTTGCCTTCACACATGTAACATCAATAAATGCTAATGAGACATGTAGGCTCAGGTTTGAGATATTAGATGTTATACATTGTAGTGTTTTTACTGTACATAAAATATTCTGCTCTTGTAGAAACATAATAGTTTAATTTTGGAAAACAAAGGCTTTTGTTATTTTCTTACCATCATTCCTTGGCATGTAAATACCAAATTAATATATCTTTGGATTGCATTGTATTAAAATGTTTAATTTTTTTCTTGTACAGCCAGTTCATATAGAGGGCAGGCATTGAGAAGCCCTCCCCCTTCAGATCCTGACTATTTTAATCTTTCCCACAAGCACAGCCCCTTTAATCTATAAAATTTTTAATTTTTTTAAATTGCAGTTTGAAAGCTGGGTGCAGTGGTTCATACCTGTAATCCTAACACTCATTTGAGAGGTAAGGGCAGGAGGATCAGGAATTAAAAGTCAGCCCCGGCTACATAATGATTTCAAGACCAGACTGGGATACATGAAACCTTGTCTCAAAAAATAATTCTGGGCTAGGGGTAGTGGTGCAAGACCTTAATCCCAGCACTTGGGAATCAAAGGCAGGCAGATTTCTGTGGGTTCAAGGCCAACGTGGTTTATATAGCAAGTTTCAGGCTAGCCAGGGCTACACAGTGAGCCCCTGTCTCAAACAAACAAGCAAGAACATTCTATTTGCATTGCTGGTCTGACTTTCATTTTTAAAAAGCATTAAATGAATTTTGGTTTGGGATTAGGACAGAATCTAAAAATTTCTTAAATGAACCTAAATTTACTTCATGCAAAGTGACAGTCTCAGTATTGGTGGTTAGAAAATCAAAGTTTTAAGTTGTCAATCCAAGCACTCTAGAGGCAGAGACAGGTGGATCTCTGTGAGATTGAGACCAGCCTGGTCTACATAGCAAGTTCCGGGCCAGCTGGGGCTATAAGGAAACCATGTCTTTATACATATATATATATACACATATATATATGTATATATGTATACCAGAGAGATGACTCAGCAATTAAGAGCACTGGCTGCTCTTGCAGAGGATGTTGGTTAGTTCCTAAGACCTACTTGGTAGCTAACAACCATCCATAACTCCAGTTCCAGGAGATTTGAAGTCCTCTTCTGGCTTCTACAGCCATTGCATGTATGTGTGCACTTACATACATGCAGGCAAAACACTCATATATATAAAAAAGAAAAATTGCTGGGCGTGGTGGCACACGCCTTTAATCCCAGCACTCAGGAGGCAGAGGCAGGAGGATCTCTGTGAGTTCAAGGCCAGCCTGGTCTACATAGCAAGTTCCAGGACAGCTGGGGCTACAGGGAGATCCTGTCAAAAAGACCAAAAAAAGAAAAATTAATCAATGTTGAAAAACATTGAAGATGCTCCACATCCTGCAAGTATCAATTATTCAGTCAAGATTTAACTTTTATGTGAAATCAAGTGCGTCCATCTTATTTGTATGCATTTTCTTTAATAAATGGCAAAGTTATATATACCAATGAATTGTTTTAAAGTAAATTTATGATTTATCAGGAAATATTGAATTCTATACCTGTTTTATATACCTAGAGTTATGTAAATATTTCTTAAGCCAAAGAGGGCCATAAGTGGTAAATGCTTAGGAAACACTGGTCTATCTAATAAGGTGTTCCAACCTTGAAATCTCTTTGGATGAACTATGTAAGCTCTGAGGCCCTTCCTTACCATAGCTAACCCATCACACTTTAGTTTCTGAAATCCTTCTATCATCATCTACATCACTCTACCCAAACACTATGGATTACTGTGATTGATGACAAGTATCCTGTACCAAGAATTTTACCACTTAACTAAATCTGTCTATGGTGAAATTGAGTAAATGTTGCAAACATCTATGTAAACATTGCACCAAATATGAGAGAAATGCTGTTTTGGCATAGTCCTTTGTCCACAACAAATACAATATGAGCCTTACATTGAAAATAATAACTTGAAGCAATTAAAGGTATCTAGTGCTGGGCGTGGTGGCATACGCCTTTTATCCCAGCACTCGGGAGGCAGAGGCAGGCAGACCTCTGTGAGTTCAAGGCCAGCCTGGTCTACATAGTGAGTTCCAGGACAGCTGGGGCTACAGGGAGACCCTGTCTCAAAAAGACCAAAAAAAAAAAAAGTGTCTAGCATGAACTTGAGGCAACAATTATCCAATCACAGGAGTGATAGCATCTGAAAAGCGTAAGCTGACACATTTTAAAAGGAAAGAATGTTTGTGCCAGTTCCACGCGATCACACTGTGGGAGACTTGTTATTAAGTGTGGGTACTTGGCAGGTAAGGGTGATTTGTGGAAAGGAAAGCTGAAAGAACAAGGTCCAAGCAAAAAAGGACCTTCTTGTCTGCTTTTAGTAAAGAAACGGCAACTATAGTCTGCTTGGAAAGGAAATAAAAATCGTAATATGTGGTCCACACCTACTCTGCCTAGCTAGTTAGGCCCTCCCCATGTGTCCCCATCCCTGCCTTGGCCCTGGGCCCCCTCCTGATCATCCTGCCTGATAGCTCCAGACTACCGTGAAAAATATACTTGTCACCACTCATCAAAGAAGCTTCTTTTTTGCAGTAGATTGAGACTACTACAGAGTTCCACAACTGGTCAAACAGAGAATAAGTTTCTGTGAGATGCCCAGCCCTAAGTGACACATCTACAATGCATCCCCCACACCTAAGGCTCAGTGAGCATAGTGGAAGAGGGTAGACAGAATACTAATGCATCTCTCAACTCTCACCAGCAAGATTCCTCATGCAGTAGAGGACTCCTGTATTAAACCTCACCCATCCAGGGCTCAGGGACCATTGCAGAAGAGGGGTTAGAAAGATTGTAAGAGCCAGGAGTGGTGGGTTACCACAAAGAAACAGAGTTTTCCAGGCTTCTGAGAACTTGCTCATATGAACTTACAACAATGATGATAGCATGCACAAGACCCATGCATACTCAAACCAGATAAAAATCCATCATAGAACTGGGGAAATGGGTAGAAGGCCCCAACCTTAGCCAAGGCAGCTGATCACTGCTGGGTGGAGGAGAGTTGGTCTTCTTTAAGGGAGTGACCCTAGATAGGCTGGCCAGGCTGCAGTGGATAAACTCACACCAAGGGACATTTGAGGACACAAACTTGATAGGCCTTAACATATATGAAAGAATGCATGAAATTCTGGGCGGGAGGCAAGGGGTAATGGAGGTATAGATAGGGGAGAGAGTCTAAATATGATTAAGAAGTATGAGGTACACAAAAATTTGATAAAAATACATGTTGAAGAAAAAAAATTGTAAGATGTTTATTAACACCCAGAGCACAGGGCATCATTGTATTCATTAGGTGAAAGATGTTAGGAATCTTCACCATTAAATGAAAAAGAGGGCAGTGCTAGGACAGCTAAGTTGAAAACTATCTTAAAAAGCTGTACACTGAAGGTATCGCCAGGATAGATAAAGGCTCTTCCAGACAGTAACCCAACATACTACAGGAAAAATGAACAGCAGACCCAATTCTATCCAAAGGAATACTGACAATGGATTGCCATAGATGAGGAACAGCTGACCCTCCTGGAACAAGGACCTCTGGCTGACTAGATTTACCAGAAGGGCAGACAGGGGGGAATGGATGAGGGTGCTGACAACACAGTGGACAGTGACAGGGATGGCAGAGTATGGAGCCTCTAGTGGGAGAGGAAGGCTGTCTATCTGACGAGTTTGTATTCATGCTCAGATGCCGAGGAGCTCAGAAGGTGGGCAACTGTGACCAGTGATAGTCATGCATATAGAGATTAGAAATGCATGTGAAAACATCTCAATGTCAATTGCCTTGGAAT